GTGTGTGTGTGTGTGTGTGTGTGTATGTATGTATACACACACACACACAGTATGTATGTGTATGTATGTATGTATATGTGTGTGTGTATGTTTATACTCTGTGTGTGTGTATGTATGTATGTGTGTGTGTGTATGTATAAATAAATAAATAAAGTTTGGACCTGACTTTAAAAATGTCAATTTTCATGTGAGGTTCAAGAAGCTCGAAACACTTTGAACCCCCCCCCAAAAAAAAATCTCCAAAAGTGAGTTTTGTGTAATTCTGAATTTGGTAGATTTTTTTCTCTTCTCTCCAGATGTTAATAATTTTAATATCTTTGATGTTGAATAGTCTTGTAGAATGGCCTCCTCAAAAAAAGGGAACCATTTTGAAACGAAAGATGACAAATGTCTTGAACTTGGAGAAAAAAATGTTTTATAATGTTTTGCTTTGTAGAACAATAGAGCCACACTGCTTTGATATCTCGGGAACTGTCATGGAATCCTGCCCATCACCACCTCCCTTGGAAAATGGATATGTTCAAGTAGGTGAAACATAAAAGAATATTCTGTGTATTCTGAATGTGTGTGCAGATACAGAGATATAACTTAGACTTATCCTATATCTACTTATTCAGAAGAAAGGCTCATATATGATGTACTTTGATGCGTTGGCATGGCAACACTCTAACTTTTCAGTTGCTGTAGCATGACTAGGAGTTCTGGCAGCTCAACACCTTTGGAAGGGCACTTGGGTGAGAAAACTAGAATGGAAGGACCACACTCCCTTGACATACTTCATTTCATCCAGTGAAGTATTTTCTCTCTTTTCCTCTTTTTCTCCCTCTTTTTGGAGGATATGCAAGATGTTTTTGACTTCTTAACTACTTCCATCAAAGGTCCAGAGAGTAGTTCTACTACTAGAGAGTTTTTTATGGTCTTATTATTGTTCTTCAAAAACACAAGTACTTAATTCCAATTGCTATTGATATTTCAAAAATGCATAAACAAAAGAAAAAGAACACACTGTTGTATTGTTTGACATATTCTGTAAGAATTATTTATGCATGTGAAGATTTGTTTGTTGGGGAGAGGAGTTCAGTTCAGTGATTCTCAAGGTTGTTGGTTTTTCCTAGGATGCTGATTCATCCTATCCTGTGGGGAAAAGCATCCATTATGCTTGCAACACGGGATATGTAATTGTGGGAAACCCAGTTGTTACCTGTGCTGAAGGCTTGAAATGGACCATTGGAGAAATCAGCTGTCAGAGTACGTATAAGAATAGCAGAGAACTGCTGGATCAGACCACAGGTCTGTCTAGTCCTGTACCTGTTCCCACAAGGGTCAAAGAGATAATTCTGGGAAGACTACAAGTAGGATATAAATGCAATATCACTATCTTGGCGATATTCCCTAGAGACTGGTATTGGGTAGGATAAGTCCTTTCAGCCTGAAAGTAGCAATATTTGTTGATATTAGTGTTTCTCAACCTTTGCAGCTTTAAGATGTGTGGACTTAGACTGACTCAAAGGCACACACACACATACAGATACATACACATGCTCTACAGTAGTATTATGAGAAAGGAAGGAAGGAAGAAAAACACACACCTAGTCATTATCTCCACAGTAGGCAACATGACAGAGGACCTAGAGATCCTCATATAAGATGGGTATGTCCTAGGGAGGGAAGATTTTTATTAAGTGGAGGCCTTAATGGTTGTCTAATCATTGATATTCCCAACAATTCTTCTCTTCTTTCTGCTTCTGATCTTTTCCCTCCCAACTGCCAAAATCATATTAGTATTCTTCTGTTTTCTCTCTGTGTGGTTGTCCTCAGTAATTCTTTTTTCTTCTTCTCTGTGCCAAGTTTCTTCCTTCTTCTGTTCTGAAGAAGGGAGAAAAATGGGCAATATATATTGTTTCCTCACATCTATTATTTTATTTCACTCCACAGAAATAATTAATAATAATCATAATAATTCTGATAACTACTGTCACTTTTTTCTTCATATGTCACCTTTTTAAAGATTTCTTCTTATAAAAGTAAACTTCCCAAACTCTAAAATCTCTATAAGGGGGAGATGGGCAGGGATAAATTTAATAAATAAATAAATAAATAAAAAATATATATACCATTATACATTGTTTTATCATAGAATGTATCCATAATATTTATCCTTCTGTGTTTTACTTATGTAGAGATGTAAATAACTTTCCTTTAAATTGCACATTATGCAAAAACTTTGTTTTGTGTTCATCATACATCAGGGTTATTTGTCTCCCAATAAATCCTAAAAAAAATCTGGTTACTCAAACATTGTATAGTTCAAACAGAGGAAGAACTTGATATACTTTTCTAATCTAGCTTTCCCCAACATGGGCACCTTTCAGACATGTGGACTTTATCCTCCAGAATTCTTAGCAATTAATGTACTAAGAGGGGAATTTGAGGAGTTGAAGTCAGCATAGCTAGAATAAAGAAGACTACCCATGTCTGTTAGTTTAACCTGGGAATCTCTAAATATATTGGAAAACTTTTATTAAGCCTATTCAGGGAATAATGGAGATTGTAGTCCAATATGACTGGGAAGTACTAAGTTTTAGAAGGTCATTGGAACCTCTTCACATATATCTTCACATGCTTGGATAGGATATAGCCAGTTTTTGTTGTTGTTGTTGTTGTTCTGTAGTATTAGTCCTCAGTTTATGGGTCAGGACTTAATCTGGGTTCTGATATTCTTCATCACCCATTTTTTAAAAGGATGAAAGTCACGTGGAGGGGAAGAGAAAACAAGGGAAAAATTACAGAAAGGAAAAAACAGGGAAAGGGCAGATGTACATATACAGCAGTGTATATATACACCCCCTTTATGGATCACTGCCTTGTGGTGGCAAAGGGGTAACTCAGTGAAGCCATAAGCTATACCATGCAGGGCCACCCAAGATGGACAGGTCATGACAGAGATTTCTGACAAAATGTGGTCCACTGGAAAAGGAAATGGCAACCCACTCCAGTATCATTGCCAAGAAAACCCCATGGACAATGTCAAAAG